CTCATTAGCAAAAGGGACTACACCTGCACCTAATACATAAGTTCCTCGTGCAAACTAAGGGTTATGTTTGTATCAGTCACATGCTTTCTGGTGGGTCTGATCTTCCCTCTGGCTTGGGTATAAATAACATCTAGAGTTTACTGGAGCTTGTGGTAATGAAAAATTTCAGCACAGTCTGTTTGAAACAGTCAGGGCTGGAGCAGGGTCTTCAAAAGCCAGAGCTGTGTTTTGACAGCAAGCAACTGTGTGTGATGTAGCTTCCTCAAGCAGCCAATGCAAGCAGGAGAGCAACCCACCAGACTGCATAGCTGATAGTCCTTTGTTCAGATAGCCAGGCACCAGCTTCAGTATCATTTGACACATATCTTATTTGAAGAAAAAAATAAACATTAAAGGCGTACTTAAACTACAGGTTTATCAATAACATTAGCAGTGGTTTAACAGTATTTAACAGTTCTTTAACAATGCTTTACTACTACCCCAGTGCTTTGGGGAGAAGAGGGTTTCTCTAATCTGCCTCATTGTGATACAATCAATGACATAGTCAACAACTATGAAAGAAAACAAAAGCATTTATCCTGTTCTAGGTCTTTTAAAAAAATGCTGAATTGTACTATCCATATTCACAAAGTCCTGTAGCAACTGGATTATGTTCTGAGGAAGGGAGAAAAGAGGTAGAGTTTTAAAGAGTAAAACACACAGCCATGCAAACTATCTTGCACAAATTGTGATGGATGGAGGCAAATTGTTTATAGGCCCAAAAGTCTACTAGTTCAGTTACAGATGTTACAAGAGCAAGAAAGAAGACAGGATATTAAAGTCCATGTAGTTTCTTTCTGTTTACAGATAATAGCTCTTCTCAATCATGAGCACAACTCCACTGATCTATTTTGAGGACTCAGAACCAAAGTATGACCTCAATTCTCAGAATCATTAATTAATAAGCTTCAGCAATATGGTATTTGTGCATTTTCTTTTTCTTTTCTTTCTCTTTTTGGTAGTACTGGGGTTTAAACTCAGGACCTCATACTTATTAGGCAGATGCCCTACAACTTAAGCCATGTCTCTGGTCATTTTTGCTTTAATTATAATTTTATTATCCAAGCAAGCCTGGATCTTGATGCGCCTATTTATGTTTCTTACACATCTGAGATAACAGGCATGAACCACCTTTTTATTGTTTTATTATCATCATCATCATCACCATCATTATTGGTTTTGTTTTGTTTTGTTTTGTTTGTTTTTGGGTCCAGTCGTGGGGCCTGAACTCTGGGCCTGGGCGCTGTCCCTCAACTCTTCAGCTCAAGGCTAGCACTCTACCACTGGAGCCACAGCGCCACTTCCGGCTTTTTTCTTTTTGCTTATGTGGTGCTGAGGAATCGAACCCAGGGCCTCTTGCATGCAAGGCAAGCGCTCTACCACTGAGCCACCTTCCCAGCATCATTATTGGTTAAGATCCAGTCTCATGAACTTTTCTGCCCAGGCTGACTTTGAAACACTATCCTCCCAATCTCTGCCTTCTGAGAAGCTAGGATAATAGGTGTGAGCCAGTGCACCCAGCTATGATTCTTTTATTGTACTCACTTCTTTTAACACTGTACCTCATTTCATTTGGACCATATTTCCCTTTGCTTTCCTTTCTCCTGGCCCCTGCCTACCTAGTACATTGAGTGCTAATTAACAGCTGTTTAATTATCAACCCAGTAGTGAAGTGAACATGGCTCAGGTCTTTAGAGAGTTATATACCTGGTTAAGATGTCCCAGATACTGGAAGATTGACTATGTCATGTGCCCTTGGGAACAGGCAATATGACTTAATGGAAAGCTCCTGTCCTTTAGTATTAGTCAACCTGAATAACTCAACCATCTTTTTATGGACAATGGTTTCTAAACCTCCCTTTCCTATACTTTCAGTGTATTTCAGTAGTTAGCTGCAAAATAGTATTTAAATGTTAGCTATAAAAACCATACTCCATTCCAGTATGGTCCATAGGTTGTGCATTGAAGATATATGGAAAGCACCACTGAGAAATAGTTAGTTAAGAAGAACTGGAAGGGGTAAGGAATGAATAGCTTCTGTAACATTTATGGACATTTTTCAAAGTAAAGTTTAAAAGTTGAATCAAAATTATCAACTCCCTATCAGTTCATGTTCCATAAAATAATAATCAGTAACAAATTTACTCCCAATCTCCTGTAATTTTGCTTACTTTGTTTATTTTCCAAATATTTGGACAATGGTTCAATTTGGGGGATCATTCTAAGCCTAAATTCCAAAGTTAACCATGTATGATTTTTGAGTCGAAAAGGCTATGATTCAATTGTAGGCATGTCAGTTAGTATTGCAACCAAATGGTGATAGTAATCATTACAGGGTGAGGAAAGAGAATAAGTCAGGTAGACTTTTAGATGTGAGGGATGTAGTTTATGTCAGGAATATAGTTTAAACAGTAGAAAATAGTTCTCTGACATTAAGGATTTTATTACACATATAATTATAGTATTGGAATCTTCCTAACAGGTCTTTTTCTGTTTTTTTTTAATTTTATTGTAAAGAAGATGTACAGAAGGGTTACAGTTAATATAAGTCAAATAATGAGTACATTTCTTTTTGAGCAATGTTACCTCCTCCCTCGTGTTCTCCCATTCCCCCCACCAACTTCCTTTCCACCCAAATTGTAAAGTTCATTTCCAACATAGTATCTAGTGAGAATCACTGTTGAATTGGTTCACCCTTTGTCCCACTATTTCTGTGTCTCAGAGGTCTTTAACAATAGTTTATAACCTCATCTTTTGTCATAGTAATTTCAGGTATCATAGAAAAAATTCTAAATGACCAGTAAAAGGAAGATAGTTGAATAAATCATTTTTCCTGCCTCTATAGATATATACAAATTAAGATATGATGACTGTATAATAGCATATTAAAATTTTATGGTAAGATACTCAGGTAAAAGAATACACAATTTTATCTATAGCATGAGACTTGATTGTGTGAAAATTAAATGTGAATAGAAATTAACATCAGACAAAAACCTCTAACAATACAAACAATTGATAGTTATGTGGTGATGCCTAAAACACTGTTTTCCCATTACTTAGATGTGAACATGCTTTTTTTAAATACTAGACCTAGGGCTTGAGCTCAGGGCCTGGTCACTATCCCTGAATTTTGTTTTTGCACAAAGCTAGTATTCTACCACTTAAGCCACAGATTCATTCCTGGCTTTTTGGTGGTTAAATAGCTAGGATTACAGATGTGAGCCTCCAGCACCTGGCATGAACATACTTTTAAGGTTTTCATCTTCATGAAGTATAACCCTGACCTTCACTGAGGACAGGAAGTGGACTGATAAACTCCAAATGCTCTTTTAGGCTCCAAATTCCTCAAGTTCCAAGTTCCAAGGAGCAATGGTATCCAGAGACTGTAGCATTCCCCAGCATTACTGGTTTTCATTAAAATCTCATTTACAAAATTAAAAATTAATTTCATGCAAATGAATTTAAGCAGTCTTTTCATTAAAGTGCTCATGGTCTAATTGAGTTTGGAGTGGTTGTAACTGTCATTCCTGTACTGTTATTTAAAAAGATGTGTTGTTATGGGTGTCTTTTTGTTCTTATTCTGCTAGGGAACAACATATAGATAAGTTTTCAAACTTCTACAAGGTAGTTACTCCTGTTTCTCCACTATTCTAATGAGGGAAGGTGATATCTCAAGGAAGTAATTCATAGTAATCTAATGTAATGAGAATCCCTCAGTGGAAGCCAATCAAGATGTTCCTTTAATGAATAGAGAAGATAAAGGCTTCATTGAGGGAACAAAATGGGAAAATCCCAATGGCTAAACTCAAGTTCCTTCTTTCCCATGCTGAAGAGACCCTTAGTGGGACACTGAGATGTTAGTTTTGAAAATGTCCAGAGCAGGTGTTGTGGTAATAATTATAGCCAGGATCCTTCATAGGGAGTATCTGATGAATGAGCGTTTGGAATGAGCATTTGTCCTTGCAGCATTTTCCCAAGATGCAAATCCTGGGGGAGATAGCCATGGAGGCACCCTGTGGCCTAGGAAGACCTCAGTGCCTTCACATCAGATATTGCTCAGAACTTTAGTCCCACAAACACAGGACCAATGGACTCATAGACACCTCCTCAAAGATGATGAGGAAAGTTAGAAAGAAGAAAAATAAATGATGCATCATAAAATATATTAGTAAACATTCAACATGTGTTTGGTTTATACATGGACTTAGTTCCTGATTTTGGAGATGTTCAGATTGACCAGAGCTATTGGGTAATCATTTGATTATTAGTCAAAGGCTAAGAGGAAGAAAGCTTCCTGATAGGGACAAAGCCTCATCATGGTCCAGAGTCTGCATGAACTAAATTAGCTCCAAAGTTTCCTGTCTATCCAAGTTAGCTTGGGATTCTGCCTGACTCCCAAAAGGAAAGTGTGAGTAGTAGGAAAGTGGGTGCCATCCATCAATTTCTTTTCAAAGGTCTCTCGCTTACCTTCTTGAGCTTCACAATAGGACTTGCTGGCTTTCTAGAGGGTGGTTTCATTTTATTTTGCTTTGCTTCTTTGTTTGCTTTGTTAGCTGACTCCCAAATACAATAACACTATCAATAAAGGTAAAGACTGGGAAGACTTCCAGAAATATGAGCTATGAAGTTTCACCCCTCACCTTTCTCTCTCCTTAACAGAATGTTCTTGCTTTGTTTCATTTAATGTCCTCTACCACTTCATCTTCCTGAAAAGCACTTTTCTCCATCTAATCTTACTTTAAGGAAACTCTCTGTGAGCCATCACCAAGGCCTTGTTTGTCTGATGTAGCCACAAGTAAATGCTCTGAGAAAATAATCATAAAATGAGAGTCAATATAAGATGAACTCCCTTTTTCTGAGAAAAAAGAAAACCCACATGATTTACTAATGAAATTTGCATTTATGGAAAGAGAAATGTATGGGTTGCCATAGATAATTGACTAGTAATATCATTCCAGGTAAAGATGGCCTTGCAACAGGAAGGATTTGATCGAAAAAAGAGAGGGTACAGAGACATCAATGAAATTGACATCAACATGAATGATCCCCTGTTCACAAAGCAGTGGTATCTGGTGAGTTTCTCTGTTACTTCTTCATCCTTCACATTAAAAATATATGTTTATTTCTTCATGATCATCAGGATGTCATCCAGCCTCTGGCTCAGATAACCTCTTTTTTTCTATAAGTTTTTTATTGTTAAATAACTGTACACAGGGGTTATAGTTACATGAACAAGGTAATGAGTACATTTCTTATCAAGCATTGTTGCCTCCTTTGTTTTTCCCCTACCCATCCCTTCCCTCCCATCTCCACAACTACACTCCTCCCCTCCCCCGCCCCTGCCTAAATTGTAAAGTTTGTTTTTCAACGTAGTGCCTTGTTCATCTCATTGTTGCAATGGGTCAACCTGTATCCCCATTTAAACAATTTTTTTCCTTCCCCTCCCCAAATTATACCAACATCAAATACAGTGGTATATAGATGTCATTCTGTCTGATGGAGGCATAGAATTCATAAATATATATATATATATATATATGAATCAGCCTTCTTTTTGAATTGCTTCCTAGGGACAGAACTACTACTCATAGCTATTCATGTTCTCCAAGATGGAAAAATTGCACCCATTTATGAACTAAAACTTGCAAAAAAAAATAGGTAAAGGTCAAATCAAAGTTCTGGGAAGAGTAATCCAAGGGTCCCAACGGGACCCTTGGATTATGAAAAGTCATAGACACAAGGGAAAGAAATCTGGTAGTTTCACAAGGGGCAAGCAAAAGAACTCAGAAACCGAAGTAGCAAAAGTGGCATTTCTTAGTGCTTTCCAAAACAATTGCCGTCAATCAACTTCCTGAAGCAAACAAACAACCCACAAATAACCGTAGCTTATTAAAATCAAAACTTGTTTCTCACTTTTTTTAATTTTATTTTTATTGTAAAGATGCTATACAGAGGGGTTACAATTACATGAGTAACGCAATGAGTACATTTCTTGTCAAGCATTGTTACCCCTTCCCTTGTTGTTCTCCCACTATCCCTTCCCTCCCCCCACTTTCTTCACTCATCCCCACCCACCCTGCCCAAAGTTGTAAAGTTCATTTCCAACATACTGCCTTGTGGGTATCATTTCAGCATTTTGTTATTCCCTTTACCCTCCCCAAGTTAGACAAATGTATATACAAGATGCAGGGTACCAAAATCAAGTACAGTGACAAAAGGGGATATACCATAGGGGGAAAAACATACAAAGGAAAAAAAATCACATAATACATTAAAAACTACAACAACAAAGACCAACCCCTTGTGTCTATATCTCGGGGTTCATTTCACTTAGCATCATATTAGATGGTCATATGTACATAGCTTTTGAGCTTTTCTGCTCATGTGATAAAATTACCCTAGACATATACTAATTAATGCAAATGAGGGAAACCACAGGACCTATATTTCTCTGGGTCAGGCTTATTTCCCTTAATATGATTTTTTTTCCCAAGACTTTCCATTTCCTAACAAATGGTGCAGTGTCATTCTTTCTGATGGAAGCATAGAATTCCATTGTATATATATATATATATATATGCATATATATACATATATATGCATATATATATCACATTTTCTGGATCCATTTATCTATGGATCCATTCATCTACTAAGGGGCATCTGATTCCATATCTTAACTATGGTGATTGTTTCTCACTCATATTGAACCATCCACTCTGACTGCTTCCATAAGCACTCAGCAAAGAAAGGGGTAAAGCTGACTGGATGTGCAAAAATGCCACATGAGCTCACATTCCATTAACCCAAACCAGTCATGTGACCATTGTGATATAAAAGGACTTGGAGAGAGCCAAGCATAGGTCTGACATCTGAGGATCACAGTTCAAAACCAGCCCAGGCAGGAAAGTTCATGAGAATCTCATCTCCAATTAACCACCAAAGGAAAATAAAAGCCATAAGTGAGGCTTTGGCACAAGAGGTAGAGTTCTAGCTCTATAAAGAGAAAAAATACTCAGGAACAGCACCCAGGCACTGAGTTCAAGACTTAGGACTGGCTTGCATACACACAAACACACAGATACACACACATAGACACACACACACACACACACACACACACACACACACACACACACGAGACATAGAGAGATGTCATCTTAACCTGTGCTTGGAGGAAGAAGAGTAATATTTTTTTGTCAGTCATGGAGCTTGAACTCTGGGCCTGGTTGCTGTCCCTCAGCTCTTCAGCTCCAGGCTAGCACTCTACCACTTGAGCCACAGCACCACTTCCAGTTTTCTGGTGGTTTATTGGACATAAGAGTCTCACAGACTTTCTTGCCTGGGCTGGCTTTGAACTGCAATCCTCAGATTTCAACCTCCTGAATAGCCAGGATTATAGGCGTTTGCCACCGGTACCCAGCAAGTAATAACTTTTATAAAAAGCACTAACAATATTATTACATTTTGGTACTAGCCAAATAGTCATTGGTCACAGGGGCTTTGGCCAAGTACACATGCTATCCTCCCTACTTCCCTATAAGCCGTCTTTGAGAAAAATCTTCATTGGACAAAGATGCATATCAATTTGGAACCTTTTCATCTCCTGGGTTTTTTTTTTATATTTTGGGGTCTGTATTAGAACATTTGTTAAAGCTGAGCTGTATTTATTTGACTCCCTTTAACAAATATTTTTGAGCAAGACTTGATACAGTGTTACTGAAGTTTCAGAGGTAAGACATGTTTTCTCCCAAACTGATATTGTGACTGAATAAGGAAATTATATTCAATAAGAATAATCCAAGATAATGTGTGCTAAATTCACACTGTGAGATAAAAACAAAAAGTTATGGAAGGGAACACTTAACCCTGTTTCAGGACAAAGCTACAGTGGAAACACCCAAGATTTGTGTTTTGAATGAATTAAAACATAGCAATCTAGCTAGTAAATGTGGGGAGATTGAAATCACTTTTGTGCACACATAGAGAGCAGAAAACACCAATTGTGTATGAAAAAAAGAAAAAGACAGACAGGTAAGGTTACAGAAGGTGTAAAGAGCACCCAGAATTACTGCTTTATGGAAGATGTGGCCTTTAGGCTGATCCTGGGATATCAAATTGCTGCAGAACATCTCAAGTACACACACACACACACACACACACACACACACAAACTGTACACCATCAAACTAATGAGATTCTGTTTTGAATTTCTCCACCAGATCAACACCGGGCAAGCTGATGGCACTCCTGGGCTTGATTTGAATGTGGCAGAAGCCTGGGAGCTGGGATACACGGGCAAAGGTGTGACCATTGGAATTATGGATGATGGTGAGTATATTATAGACTTTAATCACTTGGGAGCAAGTGTGCCTTGCCTCCCTGTAGAACATGGAAGATTCATTGTTTTGGAAGATGCTAATTGGAAGCAGAATTGTCATCTCTGGTGTTGAGTCTAAGAACACTGTAATCAAATTCTTATCTTCCTCCAGACCAGTGATCATTAAACTCCAGGATACTCTTAACAAATACTTTTTTTAATTAATCAATAAGGAACTAAAATAACAAATGTCATCTAACTGCCATTCAATTTTAATTTGATATTGGCCACTGCCTATAGCTGACTATAAAATGTCTTCAAAACTTATTTATATTAACCACCCACATTGGCCAGTAGAGTATGTGTGACTACTTAACTTTTAACTGTAATTATTTAAACTAAATGAAATTTAAATTTTCAGTTCTTCAGTCACACTAGTTCCATTTCAGGCATGCTTGGTTTGGTTTGGTTTGCAAGCCTGAGGATCAAACCCAAACCCTAGTATAGGCAAGGCAAGCACCCTACCACTGAACCTCCTACCCATCATGTCAAGTTCTTGATTGCTACATAAATTATATCAGCTGCTGAAATTCAGACCAACTCCATTTCAACAGTCACCAAAAAAAACCTCTCCACAATTAGAGCTCTAAAGCTGTGCAATCACTTTTTAAAAACAGGATCAAGATTTTGACATTTTAACTTTAATGATACCTTCAGAATGAATCTTTGTCAAGCAGCTTTTGATAACATTAATAATACACACACCTTCTATATGTTATTCTACCCTGGGTACCTGCCAAAGATCTAACAGAGCTTTATTTTTCTATAGTTGAAACTTAGTCTCTGTAGTCTGAAACCACTGGGTTTGATGAATTGATGTTTTCCCAATTCCACATGTCTTTGACCCTTTCAAAATCCTACAGAGTCACCACCCTAGCATCATTTCACTGACATAGGCCTCTGCCCTGCAACTGGCCACCAGACCCCCAGTTCAAAGCTCCACTGTGCATTATCCATCTAATTGCATACAAAGGCTCCACAGAGATGAAACAATGGAGCCTTCCCTTTCTGACCATCTTCTAAGAGCATGGTGTTGTCTAAAGCAAGCCTTTGAAGCTGAATTGATGGAGGCAACAGGGAAGCCAGCATGCTTAAAATCTGTGTTGCCTTTGTATGGGCTCATTAAATATCAACACAGAAACTATGACTCAGTGTGCTTCTGATGTGTGAGATGTTTTGAAGTGGATGTAAAAGCTTTCTGTGATGGCTGAGGACTTTCACAAGAAGAAAAGAGAATTGGGAAAGAGTGAATGTACACAGGATATCAGGAGCTTATGATTATATTTTTTCCTTGCTAACACTTTGGCTTGGAAATCTTTCCAAAGCAGCTGAAGCTAGCATACATACACACACACACACACACACACACACACACACACACACACACACAGAGCTAAGTTTAAGGGAAACTTACCCAGGATATGATGGCCCATTCAGTGTTTGTACTGGGTATCTTCTCCCAAGGACCAAATAGACTAAAAGTGACATGGTAGAGTGACAACACATGCTCATACATCATAAGAAACCTCCAGAAGCACTCTGGATGCTCATTTGTTGTTGCTGCTGCTGCTGCTGTTGTTGTTGCCTTTATTATCCTTGTCGTCCTCATTGTTGTTTTGGATGATACAAAGGTTTTAACTCAGGGAATTATGCTTGCTAGGCAAGCACTCTACCACCTGAGCCACACATTTGGTGCTTTTAGCTTGTTTTTCAAATAGAGTATCACATTTTTCACAAGCTGGTCTTGAATTGGGATTCTCCTGCCCCCACCTCCTGAGTAGCTGGGATGACCCATTGCAGAATTCTTAACTATTGCATCCTTGCCTAGCACTGAAGTCATCCCTTCTAAAAACAGCAGACTCCTGACTCAGTTCCACATTGGGAGGCTAAACCACATAGAAAGTCCCAGCAGAAATTTCTGTTTGTTTCATCTTATTTCTTCTGTAGATTAGTGGTCCTTGGGATCCCCATAAGTTGAACTCTCTGTCCCTTTTCATTCCAATTAAAACTCCTAAGTTCTTTATTGTTTTTGTTTTCTAACAAACTACCCCAAATTGGATGGGTTTTTTAAAAGAAATATGTTTCACAGTTCTATGAGCTGATAGGGCTTAGCCACACAGCTGTGTGGCTGCTTCACTGGGGTCTTTTCTTGTGATGCTAAAGACAGAAGGCAGAATTGGCTGGAGGCTCAACTTGGATGCCATGCCTCCTTCTCCACCTAGTCTCAGAGTTCCCAGCAAAGGAGATTTCTTACAGGTGACTCACGACTTCCAAGAACCAGAGTTCCAGGAGAGAGGGGAAACTTACCAGATGGACCTAGAGTAGGAGGCATTGCTCTGTCACTTCTGCTGGACAAATAGTGGCAAGGCAGTCCAGCTTTTCAGAGGGGAAATACATTCTTCCTCCCAATTTAGAAGGGTGGGAAAATGGATAGCAGATCTCTGACCATCTCTATTTCAATATGATAATTAGAGAAATGGAAGACACTACGTCATCCCTCAAATCCATATTGGGGACAAGAGCAGCTCCTGCAGGACAGGGACAAAACCCACATACTCAGAAGCCTCTCACTATAGAGTTGAACATCTCTGCCTTAACATCCAGAACTGGAAAGACAGAGATCTCCAGTAGTAACTTTCTTTTCTTTGCTCTCTACATACATGAATGGTATGGTATCATTTCCCACATAGTCTGTCAGCAAGATGTTTCAAAACAATATTTTTTAAAAAACTGACACAGATACTGAGCTAAATAGTCAAGGGCAAAAGTAATCATATTCTGCAAGCATTGGCTATGTAGCTTGGCCTGTGGAAAATGAGCAATTTTCTGTATGTGAGAGGTTCAATTTGTAGGCAGCTCAGTTTTAATAGCTAGCTACCTGTTTCTGATTGCACAACTCAAAATTCAACCCTACCCCCACCCTACCCTCCAGATCTAATGACTTCATAAATAATACCTTCTAATTCCCTTAGGGGCAATGCAATGCCATTTCATTGGGAAGTACCTCCAAAGTGAACTATTGATAATAGCCCTTTGGCACTGGAAATTATTTCTTCAGGGTCTTCTGGGGCATTCCAGGCATGGATCTGTCAGTAAGGACCTTGCTTACTGATGACAACTCCATCCCTTTCATCACAATGCAATTATTTAGTGTAGAAACCTGATGTTGAAAATGGTATGTACACATCACAAGATCCAAGGATGGATAAGAAGCACCAGCCCAGGCACACGTTAGAGTTTGAACAGCCAAGGAGCACTATGCTTGAATGAATAGAGCACAAATTCAAGATTGCCCTGAACAATGAGGCCTGAAGTCTCACAGGGCACTAGCAAGGGACTCCAGGTCTCCTGGTCTTCCCTTTTAAAGTCATTCTGCCTTCAAGTCCCTTCAGTCTATGAGGTATGGTGGTGAAGATTTTATCTAGCTGCCCTATAGGAACATTTGGTTACCAGGTGTCTGCTGTCTAAGACAGATATCTGCATTGACCACATTAAGGAACTGAGAAGAGGCAAAAAATATTCAAAACAGAACTTAGAAAGTGGAAAAACCTCCCATGCTCCTGGATTGGAAGGATTGACATCGTCAAAATGGCAATACTTCCCAAGGCGATACCTATCAATATTCCTACCTCATTCTTCAAGGAAATAGAAGAGGCAATCCAAAAATTCATATGGAACAATAAAAGACCCCAAATAGCAAAAACAATCCTTAACAGAAAGAACAGTGCTGAAGGAATATCAATACCAAATTTCAAACTCTACTAAAAAGCCATAGTAATCAAAACAGCTTGGTATTGGCACAAGAACAGACCTCAGGACCAATGGAATAGAATTGAAAACCCAGAAATTAACCCACAGACCTCTAGCCATCTAATCTTAGATAAGGGAGGTAAAAAAAGTAGAATGGAAGAAAGACAGCCTCTTCACTTAATGGTGCTGGTAAAATTGGTTAACTACATGTAGAAAACTAAAGCTAGGAGGTTCCGGGAAGATGGCAGAGGAGAAGCTGGAATCTGAACAAGCTCTCACATAGAAAGCAGTTTTAGAGTTCCAGTGACCAGTCCTAAGCCAGAGAATCACACCAAGTGTGCCATCACAGGACAGAGAGTTAGACAAGAGAGGGAAAGCCAAGGCAAGAAGACACATCGGAGCATTTGCCAGCAGCCCCCGGGGTGGCAGCGGCAGGGTCGCCGCAGAGACCA